CATTAGTACCCATCAAGTGCTGAACTTGGGATCTGTGTGCCTCACCCGGTCAAAATGAGAGGCTCCCCCTTTGACAGGACACAGGTCGTAATAACACTGGTTCCAAGGACACTAACCCTTCTCCCCAGCTTAACACCCCGCCCCTGCTCAACAAAATGCCATCAGGGACTGTGTGCTTGCTCCAAGGGCGCCTGCTCCCCACAAGCAGTGCAGAGGAGGAATCCGCTCCCTGCCCATTACCCACTTGGAGCGCATGCACCTGACATGCTGAGGGGACGCAGGAGGGGAGGGGAGAGGCCGGGTAAGAGCGGTCAGTCAGACCTTAGAACACTGAGATGGTGCTGCTCCTCACGACTTGTCACAGAGTGAAAGAAAAGTGCATCTCATGCAGAAACACTCCGTCCTCAACTGCTGTATGCACGTCCTCCATCCTGCAGACGAGAGGCCTTTTCAACACGAGTGTGTTTCACAGCAAACCAGAAAGGTGAACACACAAGGCCGTTCCTATTTTGGAGGTTCAGAGTATGTATCTGAATGAATCCTCACGCTCTTCAGAGAAACCTCCTGGGTGACTTCCCTCAGGAAACTTCCAGAAAACCGAGGCAGAGGCCATGGAGTCTCAAGGCCAGGCAGGCAATGATGCGGAGCCTGGTCCGGGACACGGAGCCTTCAAGAGGCTCCCCTGCAAGTCAGCTGTGGCATCCTCCCTGAGTGAGATCCCGCACAAGTGCAGAAGGACCCCAGAGACCACAGCAAAACATCAGCGGGCTGCTGCAGCCTTTACGGGTCCCATGTACAAAGTTCACTATGCCGTTACACGTACTAAGTGAACATCACATATACCAGGAAATAACCTCTGTCTTGGGGGCGTCAGGGAGGTCACCAGCAAGGCAGAGCTTGGAGAAATGCTTCCTCCCAGTGTCAGAAAAGCTGCTCCAGGTTTACAGGCAGACAGAGCTGGAGATGGGCAGTGACTGCTTTAAACAACACTTCCTCAGACCGGACTCCACCTCAGCAGACTCACTTCTCAGCTAAGTGGCACAGCCCATGACTTTAAAGAGGGTCTAATAAGTCCTTTCCCCATCTTCAGATCTAAGTACATCATCAGCACCTTCCAACCAACTTAATATTGAAGAGAGAATTTAAGAATACTGTGCAGCTAACCTGAAGTATTAAAATGGTCTGCCTTAAGGAATTTTTAGTAAAAACCAAGTTTAAAAGAATCCGCTTTTCAAGTGTTGAGTAACAGAGACATTAAAAACCAACAATTCTCATTTCAGAGATCCAACGTTTCTTAAGCCAGTCAAACTCAGCAGCAGGGGTTGTATCCCAACTTTATTAGCTGCACTTATGTTAATAGTTTTTGAGAACTCACTACCGTAGGACCAGCCCAGAGCTCCAGTTTTATCATGTAAAATTTCTTAGTACAATTAAAGAAAACTAAGATCAAAGTTAGAAAATATATTAGGTGAATAGTGTTATGGGCAAAGAACCTCAAAACATAGTAGTTTCTGAAATTAGACAAGTCAACTAACTCAGATGAATAATATTTAACTTGAATGAGGAAAAAAAATAAATTTACAACGTTTTCAGTCACCAAGGGTCCTGAGAGTACCATTTCTTTTTGAAAAGCTACTCTCCCCCAATAAAGACCCAATTCCACCGGGACCCTGCGGGACAGGGTGGGACTGCCTGACAAGCCTTCCAGGGCTGACACCTTGAGTGAGGGCAGGACCACCTCTCCTGCCTCCACTGTGGTTACCAGCCGGGCATGCTAAGACGCACTGCAGCCGATTTTCTACAAGGCACTGGTGAGGAGAGCATCACCGACTTGGTTCCGACCATCTGCCATGTCTATTTGCTCGGGCCCCTCTCCCTGCCAGCCCTTGCTAGAGATGCCGCCAGAGAGCAGTTCTAACTGCCAACTGCGCATTACCTCCCAGCGCTCACATCAAAGAGCGTGGTCTTCTTCGAAGTCTCCCCTATACTGTGATACTGGCCTTACTGGACACGCCTGGGGAAGGGAGCAAGCCACTCAACTCAGCCTTGTGTCAAACCCCAACCACAGGCATCACCTGCCAGGCCCCTCACCCGCCTGCGTTCACCAGGGACACCTCCGGTTTCCTTTGCACCCCCCCCCCCAGGCTGCGTCCAGACTGGGCTGTCCCTTAGAGCTGTGTGACCTTGGACAAGTGCCTGTCCCCCTCTGTGCCACGTTCCTTCTGCCGACGGAGAGGCTGGGTGTGGACCCCAGCGAGTGCTCAGCCCTGAACCTTGCACCTCCTGACAAGGACACCGTGGACAGCGTCACAGGTGTTCAGGGAAGGGCACAGGACCTCTCGCCTGGGGCCCCAAGCTGCTTCCTGCAGACACCGGCCAGTGTGTGCGGCCCAGGGGTAGATGCTGGGGTCCTGGCCATCTGTGAGCAGCGTGTGGTCTCCGTGCAGAGCCCAGGGCAGATGCGGGCAGTGAGTGGTGCGGCCACCGTGCGGGGCCCCAGGTGGGTGTGGGAAAGGTGCAGGTCTCCCAGTCCGAGACCCGGACAGTGCATGCGTCCCCGCCAGTCTGTCCTGTCGGTCCTTGACAGCGTGTGGACAGTGCATGTGGCTCTGGCCAGTGTGCAGCCCCGGGTAGATGCGGGAAGGGTGAGGGTCTCGGCCAGTCGGGTCCCCGGGCAGTTACAGAAAGGGAGCGGGTCTCGGTCAGTACTGGGACCTGACCAGTGAGCGGGTCCCGGGGCAGAAGCGGGCAGTGTGTGTGGTGGGCAGTGAGCGGTCCCGGCCAGTCTGCAGGGTCGTGGAAAGTGAGGGAGTCCCGGGGACAGAAGTGGACAGTAAGCAGGTCCTGGGGGATGTGGACAGTGCGGGTCCCGTCCAGTCTCGGGGTGATCGACAGTGAGCGGGGTCCCGGGGCGGTGGACAGTGCGGGGTCCCGGGGCGGTGGACAGTGCAGGGTCCCGGGGGTGTGGACAGTGCAGGGTCCCGGGGGTGTGGACAGTGCGGGGTCCCGTCCGCGGCGGTGGACAGTGCGGGGTCCCGGGGCGGTGGACAGTGCGGGGTCCCGGGGCGGTGGACAGTGCGGGGTCCCGGGGCGGTGGTCAGTGCAGGGTCCCAGGGGTGTGGACAGTGCGGGGTCCC